ATGTCCATGCGATATTGCAGAGTCGCGTGAGCCAACACAACCCTACAACATCCAGAGCCTTAAGGAACTCCGGGTAGATCTCATCCACCCCAGGGGCCCTGCCACCAAGGAGGTTTTTGACCACCTCGGCGACCTCGTCCCCAGAGATTGGAGAGCCCAACCACGCCCCTCCAGGTCTCACTGTCATTGCCCACGTGAGCGTTGAAGTCCCCCAGTAGAACAAGGGAGTCCCCAGGAGGAGCACCCTCCAGTACCCCCTCTAAGGACTCCAAGAAGGGTGGGTAATCTGAACTGCTGTTCGGCCCGTAAGCACAGACAACAGTCAGAACCCGTCCCCCCACCCGTAGGCGGAGCCCTCTCGTTCACCGGGGTAAACCCCAACGTACAGGCGCCAAGATGGGGGGCAACAAGTATGCCCACTCCTGCCCGGCGCCTCTCACCACGGGCAACTCCAGAGTGGAAGTACGTCCAGCCCCTCTCAAGGAGACTGGTTCCAGAACCAGAGCCATGCGTCGAGGTGAGGCCGACTATTTCTAGCCGGAACCTCTCAGCCTCGCACACTAGCTCCGGTTCCTTCCCCACCATATTTTATTAATAAATTGATTCAGCCTTAAGTTAAATGAACTACCTAAATGTGTTTGAGTGTTACGGCTTTTCAATACCAACTTTCTGTCCTAGAAGCTGCAAAGCTGAAAACTAGCTTTAGCATCTAGCTATGGCTATTTAGCTTAGCTCTGCTAGGTAGCTAAGTTCCTGTTTTAAATTAAAATAAATGTTATTATTAATTATTTACATCTACAGCTGTTTTCAAAAAGCCTGGTTGAAATTCATAAACATTTAAAGGAAAATTTATGTTTTTATTTTCACAAAGAAGAAAAAAAGAAGTGTTAGCTTTAGCTGAGGCTAACAGTTAGCTTAATCTGTGTCAACAGGTGTAGATAATCAGATTTAACAGATTAATGTGTTTTTATGGTGAGATAAAACAGAGGGAAGTTATTCTGTTTAGTTATGGCTTCATGTAGCTGATTATATATCAGTGTGGAAAACTAACTTCAGGTCAGATCACAAACTTTTGACTCCTGAGCAAAATGATTCAGAGGATTTGTTATAAAAACATTTTATTAAGCCAAAGAAGCCAAGAGATTAAATGAATTATTAGTTAAGTTTTTGATTTAAATACTTTTGAATGCTGTTTATTTTACAACATAAACAGAAGACGGTTAATTCTCACGGATTGATAAACTGATCAAACGTCTGAAAAGACAACAAGATGGTTGAAATGGAGTAACTTCTATCTTACACAAACCTTCACTTGTATTTAAATTAAACTTTCTGAGTCATTTAAATGAAAACATTTGTCTGACTTCATTCAGATGTTTTTTGGTCTTCTCTTCATGAAACATGTTTCACAAACGACACAGAAAGTTCAGTTTTGAGGGGATTTGTGACTGAGAACGGGTTGCAGAGTTTCCCTCCTGCAGGAATCGTTGTGCTGACAGGAAGGATCTTAAAGCTTCAGGTGTGCAGCGCCGCTTTAATCACGGCGTGTTTGTGTGTGAAGGTCAACTGGTTCTGAAATCCCTTCACCGGTTTTCCCTCCGCTCAGCCTCGTGACTGCAGCTCGTCGCTCAGCTCTTCCTCTCTGTTTCAGGACCCGGCTGGGATCTTTGAGCTCGTCGAACTGGTTGGAAACGGCACCTATGGGCAGGTCTACAAGGTAAGACATGCAAAACCTAAAGACTCAGCTCTCTGTTCACCTCCTGAACTCACTGACAGCTGCTGTATTTATTCATTAAAACAGAATCGTTTAGTCTCCTTACTGGGGTTTTACACATTTATTTAAATGAGTTAATGTAAAGGAATCACTAAACAGAAGGTTTTATATTTTATATAACTCACTGATTGTTTCATATCCAGAGTTAATTTGTAACCAGTTACATTTACTTGAGTAACTTTTTTGAAAAATTGCGTATTTTTACTATGCTGTACTTTTTAATTTTACTATAAAGTATTTCTTCTCGTACTTTAGTAAAATTTCTGGATTTTCTGAATGAAAAACAAACATAAAAACTCACCAGAAACCAGAAACTCACCAAACTCAGAAACACCTGCAGTTTTTATTAAAGTTTCTGAAGTTTTTATTGAAAGAAACATTTTCTTCTTATTTTTGTTTCTTATATGAATTATCGTCATTTTGGTTCTTAAAACACCTAAATTTACACTTAACTTTATATTTTGGTCCTAGTATTTGACTTAAAAGGAGCTAAAATTTAAAAAATAGATTCAGAAAGATGCATTTCAGTTGAAGGTTTCAGTTCATGGAGTAAAACTACATTTAAAACAATTTAGAAAATTATGATGATGAAGCGATGTGGAGCTGAATAAACTGATGTTTTTTTGCGTATTTAAAATATGTTTTAATAGTTTTATTAACTGAATGTATAATTTTATTTTTACATGAAAAAGGGGCAGATATGGGTTTGTACGTGTTTCTTCTCCTTTTCATTCACATATTTTTTACATGAACTATTAATATTTATTACTGCGTGAATTAAATTAAAAACTAAATGAAATGTTTGAGACTTTAAAGCAGGTTAAAAATCTTTTTCCTGATATAAATCTAATTCTAGAATTGCTCTGGAAACAGGCTGTTTCTGTTTCCTCCTCTCTTTATTATGACTTCACATCAAAAATCTTATTATCACAGATAAATTCAGGTTGTTATTGACAACCTGCCGGTTTATTTTTGTGGATTGTTTTACCTTGAAGGTAATTAACACGTCTGCTGGATGCGGCGAATCGATCTGACATTTCTACAAGTTGACACCTCCTCTGCAGAAAATGATTGATGGGGCAAAATTAACACAATCTGTGTGAGCTTATAAAAATAATGAACACATGAACAGAAACGGCTGAAGAGCTCATCTGGAGCCACGCTGCAGTCGGACTGTTGGATTCTCATGTTTGACTCGACATTCTTCAGCTGAATCTGGATTTTCTTCCTGATTTCAGGAAGCCGATCCTGCACGGCCGTTTACATCATGCAGTTTCTGTTCTGGAAGCATCAATTAGCTGTTAAAGATTCAGACAATTACACCAACTTCTCGTTTTCTGTTTTATTTTGAAAACCATCCATCCGTTTAGTTTATTTAATTAGCAGAAGTTTGCAGCTGGATCCAGAAACCGTTGATTTGAACGCTGCCAGTCGAACACATTTAACATGCTGCTGTCGTCATGTAGAGTTTTCTAAAAATCCATCTTGTGGACCAGAAAAACATGTTTTTTTTTTAGTTTGACAAATGACTGATAATGCACTGCTGCTGCAAATCATCTTAGCCCTGATTAGCTTTCACCATAAGACTCTCCAGGCTAGAAATTAATGAGAATTAATTAGCATTCTCTGTAGTCTCTGTAATTATCCCAAATTAAATAATTTTATTTCCTGGAAACTTCACGACAGGACTTCTGTTTTCAGAAATTATAATGAATCTGAAGAGACGTAGAAATTTTGATGTAATTTTTTCTCAAACATGAAAAAAAACCTTAAAAGGTGAAACAGAGAAACTGAAAGGCTGAGCTGTAGAAACCGGATCAGGTTCTGGTGTTCCGCCTGTCCCTCCCCTCGGCTCCCTGTTTTTATTTTAACGCTGACGGCGCTGTGGCTTTGGAAAGAGGAAGAGAAGTCTGCTTGATGTTGCAAAGCTGCTCCTGCAGAGCAGCGAAGCGTTAAAATCTGTTAATTCAGGCGTGGAGTGAAGCTGCTGCACAGGTTTCCTGCTGACTGCGGCCGTTTTGGTTTCCTCTTAAAGAAACATCTTCAGGTGGTGTTGGACCGGATAAGGAATCAGAGTTTACTCAGTCTGTTTTATTGGTCGAAAGGACGGATGTCGCCTTTATTTCAGCTCCCTGTGAAGGTTTTCTGTGACTACACTGTAAAAACTAGCAGGTTAAAGAAGACTCTCCTGCACTTCATTCAGTGATTTAAAAAAACATCAGAAATATACACCTGGGCTGAGCTTTTCAACTGAAAAATCCAACCTTCATTTGATAAGTAAACGCACCACAGTGAGCTGCACCAGCAACACTCTTCGTTGTGGAAGTTTTTACTGACAGAAGGAAACTCAAACTTAGCTGGTTTCAGGATCAGTGAGGTGTGAGGATCTATTTAAAATACACTTTAATTTTCTGACATGTCTGCAGCTCATTCAGGGAGTCATGATAACTGATGTTACTGGACGATAAATTATTCCAGAAGTTATTGTGATAAATGATAATATTGTTGTTTTCAGATCATTTTCAAGTAATAATAATTCTCAAAGATCAATAAACTTTAAATTCCAGTTAGTATTTTACTCTGGAACTAGGAGACATTTTAATTTTTACAAAATTAATAAACAAGAGAACAGAAACAACAAATAAAATGAATCAGTAAATCTCTGTAAACAAAGATTTTGTAGTCCTATTTAGTTTAACCCTCAGTTTCCTTCATTATGTTACGATCAGCTGCTGGAAATTTAACAAATGTTTCAGTTTTGGTCTCCAGTTGAACCGAGAGTTCGGGACCATCAGGGATCAAAACGCCTTCAGGAGCGTCTTCTTCCAGGAATCCAGCTCTGGATTCCCCAAAGCGACGCATCAGCGCGTCACAGAGGACGAACATCAGGATGTTAAAATCCTGGCGCTGTTTTCGGGAAACGAGAAGAAGAAGAAGCTGCAGCCACTGAGGTTTCCTTGGCGGCTGCAGCTTCTTCTTCTTTGTTTCCTGAGCTGGTCTCCATCAGCCGGGACGTTACGCCGCATGAAGAGGAAGTGTTGCCTTTTCTCATGAATCTGATGGATTTGCTGATAAATCCCTTGTTTTGCTCTGAGCTAAAGCAAAGAGCAACCTTTCATCTGTGACCGCCCTGCAGTTAAAGAAGAGCTCTTATCTCCTTCAGATTCCCGCTGAAAGGCTTTAAATTGGAGACAAATGTTCGGATGTTGCGACGCCACGGCCTTTTGTTCGCAGAGAGGGAATCTTTTGTGATTCTACTTCCTGAAAATATCACAATATGTGACTCTTTCATGCAACCTGCAATTTCCAGGGTGATCTCACTGGGCGAAGAAGGAACCAACAAATTACTGTCGGGTTCCTCCTGAAACCAAAGTAAACAGGAACAAACAGGCCTTTTAGAGGAAATCACGCCGTGAACGCTGTGAGGAATTTGGCGTGTGACGTGTAAACTAAACAACGTGACGTGTTTTTACCTCTGATCATGTCGTGATCTGCTCTCCACTTAACCACAGGTTGTAGTTTGAATTAATTACAGGAGCCAGAGATATTTCTGCAACCCGTGTTTGATCAGCTACAAGATTTTACCTTTTAAATTAAATCTCGTTGGTATTTCTAACCTTGTTAGCTTATGGTCTCCTTGGTAACTGCAGATTTTTGATCATTGTTTGATTATTGCTTTATCATTTTCTACATTTTTCTGCCTTGAAATTGCAAACTTATTTGATATATACAGTGTGTACAAAATATTTTTTTCTGTTAACCAAAATGACTTAATGTCACCACGTTTCCTTCTTAAGCTGGAAATTATTACATAAGTCACATTTTGGCTCCAAACTGGGTTATTCTAGACATAATCCTACAAAATAGAAAGCTTGGAGTAGGATTTTCTTGTAGATTTGTAATTTATAATCTGACTGTAATCTTTCATCTTCTTTTGAAATTCACATTTTTGCATGTTTTTATACTTCCATTTGGTTTTCTAAAGCTTCTAAAACCATCTCAAGCGTTTGAAAAGAACTCATGCAGTTAGTTTTTGTTTTTGGTGTCTGGAAAATGAGCCTTTCAATAACCTTACGGAATGTAACATCACCTAGCAACCAACCTGTTACCTAGCAACTCCAGCAGAATTCCATCCGTTGCCTAGCAACACAGGTAGAGCTCCAGCACTTTTGCTCAGCTGGTTTTACTGCTGATTCTGCTGTACAATGGCTGCTGGACAAGACCAGTGTCTTGTTGTTGACTTAGCATCCAGAAACCACTTGCTGCATTCTTGTTTGTTATATTGGAGGCTCCACTTCTGCTGTTCAAAGATGTACGGCTGTATAGTTGCCCATCAGTTTTACACTCGTACGTGAAAATGGCTGCAAACGTTGAGTCGGGGGGCGTGGCCAGCAGCCGCAGCAGCTTATCTGGATTTAGAGTGAAAACTGCTCTTTCTGAAAGGAGCTTAAAATAGATTCAAATGTCATCTAAGAATAATTTTGTGCAAAAAACGTAATAAATATGTTTTGTATAGGCCATAGACCGATCCTAACCTGTTCAAGGGAGAATAATAGGTCAAATTTAAATTAAATGAAGATTATAAGTGGCCAGTTGTGAGTGTTATCACAGAGGCAATTATATACTTCCTATATAATACTTCAATTATATAGATGCCCCTAGATTTATAAAATACAGGACTTCTATTACAGACTCTTATTTAATGCTATGAATGTAATCAGCTCCATCAAAACACCAAAAGAAAAGGTTTTATTTGGTTTGTTTCATTGTGGAAATGTGAGATTAGGACAAAACATCCTGGGCTCCATGTAAGAATGTTATCTCTAAATTGTTACATGTCGCCTCGCTGCACTCGCCTGTTTGTCCAGAATGGCATCAAATGAAACCGAGAGCAACAATGTTTGCAACAGAGATCACTGCTAACTGGGTCAAGGCTGTTTTCT